GTGGACAGGTTTCTTTTGTACAGGTAACGAGTTCAAACAGGTGCAGTTAATATAGGTAATGAGTGGAGAACAGGAGGGCTTCTTAAAGAAAAACTAACAGGTCTGTGAGAGATGGAATTCTTACTGGTTGATAGGTGATAAAATACTTAAGTCATGCAATAATATGCAAATTACTTACTAAACAATCATACAGTGTGATTTTCTGGATTTCTGTTTTAGATTCAGTCTCTTACAGTTGAAGTGTACCTATGATAAAAAGTACAGACCTCTACATGCTTTGTAAGTAGGAAAACCTGCAAAATCGGCAGTGTATCAAATACTTGTGCTCCCCACTGTATGTATATATACACTACCGGTGAAAAGTTTGGACCCCTACTCATTCAAGGGTGTTTCTTTATTTTTACTATTTTTAACATTGTAGAATAATAGTGAAGACAAACTATGAAATAGCACATATAGTAACCAAAAAAGTGTTAAACAAATTAAAATGAGATTCTTTAAATAGCCACCCTTAGCCTTAATGAAAGCTTTGCACACTCTTGGCATTCTCTCAACCAGCTTCATGAGGTAGTCACCTGGAATGCATTTCAATTAACAGGTGTGCAGCCTTAATGCATTTGAGCCAATCAGTTGTGTTGAGGCAAGGTAGGGGGGGGGGGGGGGGGGGGGTATACAGAAGATAGCTGTATTCGGTGAAAGACCAAGTCCATACTATGGCAAGAACAGCTCAAATAAGCGAATTTGACTGCCTTCATGACTCATGACCTTAGTCTGTCCTATATCTACAGTGAGGGGGAAAAAGTATTTGATCCCCTGCTGATTTTGTACGTTTATCCACTGACAAAGACATGATCAGTCTATAATTTTAATGGTAGGTTTATTTGAACAGTGAGAGACAGAATAACAACAACAAAAATCCAGAAGAACGCATGTCAAAAATTGTATTTTCATTTACTTCATTTAGCAGACGCTCTTATCCAGAGCGACTTACAAATTGGTGCATTCAACTTATGATAGCCAGTGGGAAAACCACCTTTTTCCTTTTTTTTATGGGTGGTGGGGGAAGAAGGATTACTTTATACTATTCCAGGTATTCCTTAGAGGTACGGTTTCAAGTGTCTCCGGAAGGTGGTCAGTGACTCTGCTGTCCTGGCATCGTGGAGGAGCTTGTTCCAACATTGGGGTGCAAGAGCAGCGAATAGCTTTGACTGGGCTAAGCGGGAACTGTACTTCCGTAGAAGTAGGGGAGCTAGCAGGCCAGAGGTGGATGAATGTAGTGCCTTCGTTTGGGTGTAGGGTCTGATTAGAACCTGAAGGTAAGGAGGTGCCGTTCCCCTCATAGCTCCGTAGGCAAGCACCATGGTCTTGTAGTAGATGCTGGCCTCAACTGGAAGCCAGTGGAGTGTGCGGAGGAGCGGGGTGACATGAGAGAACTTGGGAAGGATGAACACCAGACAGGCTGCAGCGTTCTGGATAAGTTGCAGGGGTTTAATGGCACAGGCAGGGAGTCCAGCCAACAGCGAGTTGCAGTAATACAGACGGGAGATGACAAGTGCCTGGATTAGGACCTGTGCCGCTTTCTGTGTAAGGTAGGGTCGTACTCTGCGAATGTTGTAGAGCATGAACCTGCAGGATCGGGTCACCGCTTTGATGTTAGCGGAGAATGACAGGGTATTGTTCAGGGTCACTTCAAGGTTCTTTGCACTCTGGGAGGAGGACACAATGGAGTTGTCAACGGTGATGGCGAGATCATGGAGCGGGCAGTCCTTCCCCGGGAGGAAGAGCAGCTCCGTCTTGCCAAGGTTCAGCTTGAGGTGGTGATCCGACATCCACACTGATATGTCTGCCAGAAATGCAGAGATGCGATTCGCCACCTGGTTATCAGAAGGGGGAAAGGAGAACATTAATTGTGTGTCGTCTGCGTAGCAATGATAGGCGAGACCATGTGAGGATATGACAGAGCCAAGTGACTTGGTGTATAGAGAGAATAGGAGAGTGCCTAGAACTGAGCCCTGGGGGACACCAGTGGTGAGAGCACGTGGTGCGGAGACAGATTCTCGCCACGCCACTTGGTAATAGCGACCTGTCAGGTTGGAGATACCCAACTCGGAGAGGGTGGAGAGGAGGATCTGATGGTTCACAGTTCAAAGGCAGCGGATAACTCTAGAAGGATAAGAGCTAGGATAAATTGATTTGCATTTTAATGAGGGAAATAAGTATTTGCAAAACATGACTTAGTACATGGTGGCAAAACCCTTGTTGGCAAATCAGAGGTCAGACGTTTCTTGTAGTTGGCCAACAGGTTTGCACATGTCTCAGGAGGGATTTTGTCCCACTCCTCTTTGCAGATCTTCATTAAGGTTTCGAGGCTGACGTTTGGCAACTCGAACCTTCAGCTCCCTCCACAGATTTTCTATGGGATTAAGGTCTGGAGACTGGCTAGGCCACTCCAGGACTTTAATGTGCTTCTTCTTGAGCCACTCCTTTGTTGCCTTGGCCGTGTGTTTTGGGTCATTGTCATGCTGGAATACCCATCCACGACCCATTTACAATGCCCTGGCTGAGGGAAGGAGGTTCTCACCCAAGATTTGTACATGGCCCCGTCCATCGTCCCTTTGATGCGGTGAAGTTGTCCTCTCCCCTTAGCAGAAAAACCACCCCAAAGCATAATGTTTCCACCTCCACGTTTGACGGTGGGGATGGTGTTCTTGGGGTCATAGGCAGCATTCCTCCTCCTCCAATCACGGCGAGTTGAGTTGATGCCAAAGAGCTCGATTTTGGTCTCATCTGACCACAACACTTTCACCCAGTTCTCCTCTGAATCATTCAGATGTTCATTGGTAAACATCAGACGGGCCTGTATATGTGCTTTCTTGAGCAGGGGGACCTTGCGGGCGCTGCAGGATTTCAGTCCTTCCAGGCGTAGTGTGTTACCAATTGTTTTCTTGGTGACTATGGTCCCAGCTGCCTTGAGATCATTGACAAGATCCTCCCGTGTAGTTCTGGGCTGATTCCTCACCATTCTCATGACCTTGCAACTCCACGAGGTGATATCTTGCATGGAGCCCCAGGCTGAGGGAGATAGACAGTTATTCTGTGTTTCTTCCATTTGCGAATAATCGCACCAACTGTTGTCACCTTCTCACCAAGCTGCTTGGTGATGGTCTTGTAGCCCATTCCAGCCTTGTGTAGGTCTACAATCTTGTCCCTGACATCCTTGGAGAGCTCTTTGGTCTTGGCCATGGTGGAGAGTTTGGAATCTGATTGATTGATTGCTTCTGTGGACAGGTGTCTTTTATACAGGTAACAAGCTGAGATTAGGAGCACTCCCTTTAAGAGTGTGCTCCTAATCTCAGCTCCTTACCTGTATAAAAGACACCTGGGAGCCAGACATCTTTCTGATTGAGAGGGGGTCAAATACTTATTTCCCTCATTAAAATGCAAATCAATTTATAACATTTTTGACATGCATTGTTCTAGATTTTTTTGTTGTTATTCTGTCTCTCACTGTTCAAATAAACCTACCATTAAAATTATAGACTGATCATGTTTTGTCAGTGGGCAAACGTACAAAATCAGCAGGGGATCAAATACTTTATTCCCTCACTGTACATATACACCTGTTCTGAAAGGCCCCAGAGTCTGCAAAAACCACTAAGCAAGGGGCACCACCAAGCAAGCGGCACCATGAAGACCTAGGAGCTCTCCAATCAGGTCAGGGACAAAGTTGTTGAAAAGTACAGATCACGGTTGGGTTATAAAAAAAATATCTGAGACTTTGAACATCCCACGGAGCACCATTTTAAATCCATTATTTAAAAAATGCAAAGAATATGGCACCACAACAAACCTGCCAAGAAAGGGCCGCCCACCAAAACTCGCAGACCAGGCAAGGAAGGCATTAATCAGAGAGGCAACAAAGAGACCAAAGATAACCCTGAAGGAGCTGCAAAGCTCCACAGCAGAGATTGGAGTATCTGTCCATAGGACCACTTTAATCCGTACACTCCACAGAGCTGGGCTTTAAGGAAGAGTGGCCAGAAAAAAAGCCATTGCATAAAGAAAAAAATAAGTAAACACGTTTCGCCAAAAGGCATGTGGGAGACTCCCCAAACATATGGAAGAAGGTACTCTGGTCAGATTGAGCTGTTTGGCCATCAAGGAAAACGCTATGTCTGGCGCAAACTCAACACCTCTCTTCACCCCGAGAACACCATGTGAAGCATTGTGGTGGCAGCATCATGCTGTGGGGATGTTTTTCAGTGACTAGATCACAGTGGCTAGATGTGCCAAGCTTATAGAGACATACCCCAAGAGACTTGCTGCTGTAATTGCTGCAAAAGTTGACTATACAAAGTATTGACTTTCACAAGAAAAAATATTTTGCATCTTCAAAGTATTAGGCATGTTGTGTAAATCGAATGATACAATCCCCCAAAAAATCTATTTTAATTCCAGGTTGTAAGGCATCAAAATAAGAAAAATGCCAAGGGGGTGAATACTTTCGCAAGCCACTGTATTACCTCAATTACCTCCACTACCTCGTACCCTTGCACATTGACTCGGTACCGGTAATCGGTGTATATATTGTAATTGTTATTTTATTGTGTTATTTCCTTCTTTTTTTTGCAAATGTTTCTTACTTTTAAACTCTCCAATGTTGGTAAGTAAGCATTTCACGGTAAAGTCTGCAACTGTTGTATTCGCCGCATATGACAAATAGTGATACTGACACTAAGATTTTTCACTGTCAAACAAAAACCAATGATTGCAAAGTGAAACAAACTATACAACTCTATGCACAATGACTACTGTAGACACAAAATGTAAACCAGCAAAACACAAAGCGTTTTGTTTTGTTTTTGCATGACTATATAATAAAAAAACAAGTGCAAACTTTAGAGCAGCCATTGTATGTCATCTAAATATTTTAATGCTACATTATAATCATTAATTTCATTGTATTTGCAAAAGATCAAATTTGCCAAGTGTCTCTCACCCATTTGTGAGCGATGGGGCCACAGTATGATACCCCCATGGGGAGCACTTGATGCAGTCACTACCAAGACCCTCATTGCCACTCGGAACAGTGAAGGAAGATTGTTTCTGTTCTTAGTCCAGAACAAGAGGTTGTTCTGTCCTTCACAAATGTCAAGATAGTGGCTGAGCTGAGATGCTGAAGTGCCACATACTTTTCTCTTTTGTCTTTTGCAATATGCTGCAAACAGCCCTGACTCCTCTCCCAGTGAACGGTCCTCGTCCTCAGCAGTGGTTGGATCCACAGGCTGCTCAGTCTCTGAAGCCTGTCGGAGAATAAAATCTGATGAAATAAAGTCAAGACAAACATAGACAGAGACAAAAAGTGTCTTGCTATTAGTAGTTTACTATTTAAGTGAAAATGCTGTATAACATAAATGAATTAGGCTAAGTATTAACTCTATTGCTCAACATGTTATGACAAAAAGATACACACCTTTCACCATTTGTCACCTCGTCCTTAATACCATCATCCACCAGAACATGATGTTGCAGCCACATCAGGGAAAAGGAGGGATCTAGCACAGCTGCTTTAAGATAGAAATGGTCTGAGGAGGGTGTGATTTCTCAGTCTCCAGATGTGGTAGCCATTTGACATTGATGAAGATTCCAAGAAATCTCCTCTTCAGTGATGCTTGGACACTTCGGAAGAGGCCAGTAAGGTGGCTCACTTGTGGTTTCTGCATCTCCAGATGATGGTGTAGGGAATGAATGCAAGGAACCACTGCACTGATTGTGACAACCTTCTCTCCTTGGGTAATATCTCTGGCTTCTGCAAAAAGGCTGAAGAATGTCGGCCAACTCTTTCAGTAGTTTCCGCTCTCTCAACGAAAATATGAATTCCTTATGCTCCACCTCTTCCAGCATCCGTAAGAACTTCAGGTAGTTGCAATGGAGCACTGCTCTCACCTACCTCAGTGTGGAGTTCCAGCTTGTGTTCACTGCAGCAGGGATTCCCCTCATTCAAAACTCACCCACAAACGCCTCTTTAAAAGTGGTGTTAGTGTGGAGCAATGAGCTAATCTTGGACTCTTTGGAAAGAGCTGGACTGACAATTGTCTCCTTCAACCCATCTGCCACCACTAGTTGCAAATGCATGTGCAAAACACTGTAAACATTGTTGTTGACGATTTTTACCCAAAGTAGTGTTGATGGTCTTCTGTTCTTCAACTTCCAGGTCATTCCATATGTCTGGAACATCTATGTCCATATGTCTGGGAAGCACACTGAACGTCTTTTTCATGTTAGCTGCATTGTCACATTATGTAATCTAGATTGTGTTTGATCCCATACTCGTCACATATGCCCGGTCAGCTTGTGCCACCTGGTCACACTGGGGGCATATTTGCTATCAACCACTGACAAAAAGGGACAAAAGCTCTTGTGTTCAACGATGGCCAGGGGCATGTTGCAATCCACAATCAGGTCTGACATTATGGAATTGGTAATCAATCAATCAAATTGTATTTATAAATCCCTTTTTACATCAGCAGATGTCACAAAGTGCTATACAGAAACCCAGCCTAAAACCCCAATCAGGAAGCAATGCAGATGTAGAAGCACGGTGGCTAGGAAAAACTCCCTAGAAAGGCAGAAACCTAGGAATAAACCTAGAGAGAAACAAGGCTCTGAGGGGTGGCCAAGATTTTTCTCCTAGATGCTCAACCATTCATAGATGACCAGCAGGGTCAAATAATAATCACAGTGGTTGTAGAGGTTGCACCAGGTCAGCACATCAGGAGTAAATGTCACTTTGCTTTTCATAGCGGGGCATTTAGAGGTTGAAATAGCAGGTGCGGTAGAGCGAGAGAGTTGAAAACAGCAGGTCTGGGACAAGGTAGCACATCCGGTGAACAGATCAGGGTTCCATAGCCACAGGCAGAAGAGTGGAAACTGGAGCAGCAGCACGATCAGGTGGTCTGGGGACAGCAAGGAGTCATGGTCCTAGGGCTCAGGATGGGAGGGAGAGCGATAGAATTAGAGGGACCATACTTTTTGCTGTGGATGGTTTGTGTTGTACAGTTGCACAGTGTGCCTCTATGAATTGGGAGATGTGAGGCTGCTGAGGGTCATTGCTGATCATCTTGCTCTTCTGATATTCATCAGAGATAAAGAATATGTTTTTAATTTTATTTGCTAAATTGTTTTATATGATGGAGATGATCAAATAACACATGAGGAATCATGTAGTAACCAAAAAAATGTTACATCAAAATGCATTTTATATTTGAGATTCTTCAAAGTAGCCACCCTTTGCCTTGATGACAGCTTTGCATTCTCTCAACCAGCTTCATGAGGTAGTCACCTGGAATGCTTTTCCAACAGTCTTGAAGGAGTTCCCACATATGCTGAGCACTTGTTGGCTGCTTTTCCTTCACTCTGCGGTCCAACTCATCCCAAATGGGTTGAGGTCAGGTGATTGTGGAGGCCAGGCCAGGTAGTCCTGAGGCATGGTCCTAGGGCTCAGGGTGGGAGGGAGAGCGATAGAATTAGAGGGACCATACTTTTTGCTGTGGATGGTTTGTGTTGTACAGTTGCACAGTGTGCCTCTATGAATTGGGAGATGTGAGGCTGCTGAGGGTCATTGCTGATCATCTTGCTCTTCTGATATTCATCAAAGCTAAAGAACACGTTTTTTATTTTATTTGCTAAATTGTTTTATATGATGGAGATGATCAAATCCCCATCTCACCGTAATTTTTTGTTGAATTCATGAATGAGCATAACATTAAGGAAACGGATATTATTCAGTAGGTAACTGTATGTATTTACATACATTTATTTGTATAACATCTTTTAATAGTAGGCCTACATATGGATATTAAAAACAAAACAATCTAAATGTGCTTTCCACTTTGGACACACATGGTAGGTGGAGCCGTTGCAAGCTAGCTAACATTAGTAAGTTCCATGTTAGCTAGTTAGCTCACACAGCACAGCAATCATTTCATTCTTAACTCTCTTTATGGGACTTCATAAGTCTGACAAAGTTTGTTGTTGCAATTGCATCTGATTTTGAACTCACATGTTTTACAAACTGCAGCCCTTTTTTTCCCCCACCATCACATAGTCTTTGAAACCATATGCAAAGATTTTTGGGACCGATCCAGATGATGCCATGATGGAGACTCAATCAACGTCTCTTTGAATTGACGAACTAGCGTCAGAGATACTGTATATAATGACGAGATGGTCTTGTCTCTGCCCTTAAAGGCCATGTTGCAAGTCAAATTTGCCAATATAAATAGAATATACACCCCTTGTAGACGGCAATACAAATAATTAAATACAAATATTTTCCTGGGTTGCTCAAGTAAAAAATGTGATAAGCACGTGCGTTAATAAGCAATGCCCCCTCAAGTGCATGACGCAGACTGTGATTTTGCCTGTGCCGTTCATTCAGGTGAAGACAGGAGCTGACTGGGAACAACATCTGGTGAAGATGCCTGTTTGACAAACAAGTAGCTATTACTCCTCGGCCTGAAGTCCTAGAATCAAACTAAAATTATCTGTTTGAAGGTAATTGTCTCTTTTATACAGTATCAGTCAAACGTTGACACATCTACTCATTCCAGGGTTTTTCTTTATTTTTACTATTTTCTACGTTGTAGAATAATAGTGAAACATCAAAACTATAAAATAACACATAAGGAATCATGTAGTAACCAAAAAATGTTACATCAAAATGCATTTTATATTTGAGATTCTTCAAAGTAGCCACCCTTTGCCTTGATGACAACTTTGCATTCTCTCAACCAGCTTCATGAGGTAGTCACCTGGAATGCTTTTCCAACAGTCTTGAAGGAGTTCCCACATATGCTGAGCACTTGTTGGCTGCTTTTCCTTCACTCTGCGGTCCAACTCATCCCAAATGGGTTGAGGTCAGGTGATTGTGGAGGCCAGGTCATCTGATGCAGCACTCCATCACTCTCCTTGGTCAAATAGCCCTTATACAGCCTGGAGGTGTGTTTTGGGTCATTGTCCTGTTGAAAAACAAATGATAGTCCCACTAAGTGCAAACCAGATGGGATGGCATATCATTGCAGAATGCTGTGGTAGCCATGCTGGTTAAATGTGCCTTGAATTCTAAATAAATCACAGACAGTGTCACCAGCAAAGGACCCCCAGACCATCACACCTCCTCCTCCATGCTTCACAGTGGGAACCACACATGCAGAGATCATCCATTCACCTGCTCTGCATCTCACAAAAACACGGTGGCTGGAACCAAAAATCTTGAATTTAGACACCAGACCAAATGACAGATTTCCACCAGTCTAATGTCCGTTGCTCGTTTTTCAGTCTCTTCTTATTATTGGTGTCCATTACTAGTGGTTTATTTGCATTAATTCGACCATGAAGGCCTGATTCACACAGTGTCCTCTGAACAGTTGATGTTGAGATGTGTCTTACTTTAACTCTGAGGTGCAGTTAATTGCTGATTTCTGAGGCTGGTAACTCTAATGAACTTATCCTCTTCAGCAGAGGTAACTCTGGGTTTTCCATTCCGGTGGCGGTCCTCATGAGAGCCAGTTTCATCATAGCGCTTGATGGTTTTTGCAACTGCATTTGAAGAAACATTCAAAGTTCTTGAAATGTTCCAGATTGACTGACCTTCTTGTCCTAAAGTAATGATGGACTGTTGTTTCTCTTTTCTTATTTGAGCTGTTCTTGCCATAATATGGACTTGGTCTTTTACCAAATAGGGCTATCTTCTGTATACCAACCCTACCTTGTCACAACTTGGAAGGAAAGAAATTCCACAAATTTACTTTTTAAGAAGACACGCCTGTTAATGCAAATGCATTCCAGGTGACTACCTCATGATACTGGTTGAGAGAATGCCAAGAGTGTGCAATGCTGTCATCAAGGCAAAGGTTGGCTACTTTAAAGAATCTCAAATATAAAATATATTTTGATTTGTTTAACACTTTTTTGGTTACTTCATGATTCCATATGTGTTATGTCATAATTTTGATGTCTTCACTATTATTCTACAATGTAGAAAATAGTTTAAATATAGAAACCCTGGAATGAGTAGGTGTGTCAACTTTTGACTGGTACTTTACGTGTACATGGTTTTTGTTGGTAAAAGGCATGAACTTGGCATTGCAAGCTGGCTTCTGACTTGTTCATCGTACTTTACTAGCAAGTGACCAGCTGTATCAGGCAGCTTTAGAAACGAGGGGAAAACTAACAGCTACATTTGCTAAGCAACCATCTGATTTGATCAAGTTAATAAAAAATGTCATTAGCGATCTAGATTGAAAATGCTGGGGGAAAGTTTGCTAATGTTACCCAACGCCCACCATCAGTCTGAGTTCACCACCTTCGCTAGCTAAGTGGACCTGTAGCTAGGTTACTAGACAATAAAGATACTGAATAAAACCATAAACGCAACATGAAACAATTTCATTTACAGAGTTACAGTTCATATGAGGAAATCAGTCAATTGAAATATTCATTAGGCCCCAATCTATGGAATTAACATGTATGGGAAT